GGTGCCGACGCGTCCTTGTACAGCGGACGCTCTTTGCCTAGGCCTTGCGCTGCCGCCATGCCGGCCGGTGACGGTGAGCACAAGTCAGAGTATTGCTTTTGTTTCGGCCACCTAGGAATTTCTACAAAAATGTTCACAATATTCAAAAAATGTTCGAGAAGAGCAAGTGGTCGTCCGGAGTGGCTATCGGGCATGACTAGAAACCATGTGGGCTTTGCCCGCGCAGGTACGGATCTTGCCGACCATGCCCTTTTTTCTTCTAAAAAATGTTCGAGAATTTAGAAAAATGTTCCAAAATTGTAAAAAAATGTTTACGAAATTCAAATATTTTTGTTGTATTCAAGAAGTATTAAGTAACTCAAAAAATGTTTGTCTAGAAGAAAAAAAGTTCATGAATTTCAAAATTTGTTCTCAAATTTAAAAAAATGGTTACGTGTTCCAAAAAATATACGCAATTTCAATAAATATTCGTGAATTTGAAAAATGTTCATGATTTTTAAAAATATCATTAATTAAAGAATGTTCCTGTTTTCAAAAAACAATCATGATTTTAAAAAATATTGATGATTTTAAAAATGTTCATGAATTTGCGAAGAAGTTCACTTGTTCCAAAAATGTTAGATATTTTTTATAAAACGTTCTGCAATTAAAACAAAATTCACGAATTTGTAAAAAAAATGTTCACAGATTTGAAAATATTCCTGATTTTGAAAAATGTTCAGGAGTGCAAATAATGTTTTCAATCTGAGAAAATATGTTCGCAAATTTGAAAGACGGACAAAAAAGAAAAATAAAAGGAAGAAATAAAGAAAGAATGGAAAAAAAAGAGAAAAAGGAAAGCAGAGCAGTCACGAACAATGAAAAAAAGAAGTAAAAGGACAAAGAAATTTAAAAAACCGGAAGAAAAAACAAGAAAACCGTTTCTTGGAAGATTCTAGAACCTTCACCAAACCTCGGGCCAGCTGGCTTTTTGGCAACCTACGCGTCAAATAGGAGTGGCCTTGAATTTGTTTTGAGAAAAAGATGTAAATTCACTTTTGTTTGGGCAACGCGGCAAACCATGGGCCCGAAATCAATTCAGCTCGCCTCCAATCCGAGCTCGATTGATTTCGACTCCCACTCGTCGTCATCGACCGGAGCCGAAATAGAACGGAATTAAAAGCTTCGGCCTTTATAATGCCCAGACAACATCTGTTCCAGCGTCCCCCAAATTGGAAGCTAGGTTTCCTCGATCAAATTCTCCCCAATTTTGGCGGCGAGGTCGGTTAGTCGAGGCGAACCGCGGAGATCGACGGCCGGCGAGGAAGTAGCGGCGCACCACCAGACGCATGGCGGCGAAGGCAGCTGTGACCGCCGGTCCGCACCGAGTACGCCAAGAATGGCTACGTCGAGGTGGATGATGAGTACCTGCGCCATCAACAGGAGATGGAAGCAATGAACGAAGCAGCACGCAAGGAGGCACTCAAAGCCTTCGATTTTTCAGACTTGCTCGACTTCTGATTTGGTGCAGCATCAGCCTGTGATGATTGTAGATGGAGTTCATTTTCTCCAGTATTATCATCCAACGACTGTATTATGCAACCAATGTAATAAGAACTCACTTTGTCGAGTATTCGATTCTCTTCTTACAAATCAGAAGGCAAAAGGGTGAGATTGTTTCAAATTCAGGAGTTAAGTAGAAACTGAAGCGTATCATGTTAAAATGGAGGCTAATGACACCGTATTATGCGGCCAAATTAGCTTCTCCGGCTAATGTTGTAAAGACCTGGATGTATCAGGTTCCTGAACCTTTGTATGACTGTGTTCAGCTTGACACTCATGCCGACAAGAGTAATACTGATTGCTAATTCTTAAATAAAATAAACACAAACATTGAAATAAATATTAGTTCTTTTAGAGATCAAGAGCAATTGTGAATGTAGTGAAAATAAACTGTTAAGAAGAAGATCAGCAAAGAAGGTAATGGCAAAATTACTGAATCATAGGAGTTGTCAGTAGTTTTGCCTTTATACTCCATATTAATCCGTTATTTTGGGTAATTAACTAAACTCCTGTAACTTTACTGAATCATCATAGAAGTTGTCTTTGCCAACCCGAGTATTGCTTTACAACAATTCGATGGCCTGTGTATTTGTGTAGCGTTCTACAGATTCATACGGCTCTGAATGCTCTTCTGTAACTGATGACCCAAAATGATTGTACATTGAAACTGAAGCCTTTGGAAACTGAAACAGAAACCTTACGTGAGAGCAGGCAGAGGCGCGGAGTCAACGGTTATGCTCTTGGACAATATTCTGCAGGTTAAACAACATTCATTAAGCACCCTTGTTTGGTGGTATTTTCTCTGTAGCATCCCACTGTATCTTCAGTAAGCCTGTCCAATTTCAGGAGCTTGTGGGGGACCAGATTCTGCATTAATATTGGATGTACATGCAGCAGGGATGAGGGATTTGTCAGATAGTTATTACTTTATCATGCTTACTTGGAGCACTAAAATTCGTTCAGTGTAAGCAAACTTGTGTTGAAAACCTCAGGTCTTTCTTTTGTACGTAAAATACAAGGGTGTGCCATATATTGTACTCTCCTACCTCCATCTCTCTCAGGATTTACATCTTTACCCATGATACTAGAATGCTCTCTGTTCTGTCTGCCTTCATCAGTTCTCTAGCATGATGTTAGGTTTTGGTGCTAACATTTGACATCGCCGCTAATCAATTTGGATTCCATATCTTTTTCGAGGTACTCCACTTCTCATGCGGAGACAGTGGCCTATTGTTAACTTGTGTTGACTAGTGTTTTTTCAAACAATTATTTTTTAGCAAGGACATGTTGACTAGTGTTTTTTTTCTGTGGATAAAAAGAGTTTTCAAGAAATTGTGGAGAGCTTTCTAGCTTGCAGTGTCTGGCTTGTTCATACTAACAGTCATGATATATGTGATGATTGTAGATCGATCACAGTTTCTTCAGTCTCATCCATTGACTATTTATTACTGCAGCAAACAAAACCTATCCATCACTTTGTTGTATCCATCAGTTTGCCATGAGCATTCAGCTCTGTTCTTACACATTGGAAAAACGTGTGTTGTATTGCAGAAACTAGAGTTCTCTTGTGGTGCTTGTGCTCTCAATCACCTCATTTATGTGTCTGGTTTGTGAGAGGTAAGAGGGGATGCAAAGCTGCAGGCTTTCCACATCCTATTTTTCAAACTCGCCTTGGATGAGTTCTGAGAAAAAAACTATATACTTTTGTTATGTATACGAAACCTTGCCACCAATGTTCAGCTTCGGTACCTCAATGTGGTTAGGGGCGTACAAATCAAAGTCGCAATGTAATGTCGTTCGGCTCATACGAGCAAACGGGAACGACAAAGGTACTTGGTTTTAATTTGCCATTTCAAGAAAATGTTTGTGCAAAAACACAAAGAACCAAATGATTAGAGAGAACTGTATGAGGGCAGCTAGGGCAACTCTAGCAGATTTTGGAGCATATAGGCTTTAGGTTCTATCGACACAACGCAGATTAAGCAATGAGAATCACAATTAAAATATTGTTATTTACATTGCACAATATTCCTACCATCCTCGAGAATGTTCGATCACATAAGTAAGACAACCGACTTGTCCTTATCACAATTAAAATTGCGCCACTTACTGCACTCTTTCACCTTTTATTGGTATTTACATTACGTTGCAACTGCACCATCACAAGCAACTACAATGTTACAAATTTTAGTACTTACAGCGAATCATTGCTATTTTTGCACTTACCAATTCCTTCTGCTCGTTGTGCGATCAATACTTTACCTATAAAAAATATCTACAATTGACATCCTAGACTTGTAGGATGTCAGACTCTTTTCTTGGGCCGTTGACGGGGATTGTAACACTTTTGGTAAGTTCAAAGTGGTAAGGAAACCATTTTACTCTGTGTGCTATTTTATTGTTTTCTACTAGTTTTATCACTATGGCTTCATATATTATTGATACTCTACTTGAAACTTTCCTATCAATTGGTAATAAGGTTTGTGAGGAACCTACTAAAGGAAAAACAAGATGTTTATAGAGTACCTATTGGTTATATCAAACATGTCAAAGCTAACAACTATGCAGGAAATGAGAAAGATTACCCTGATGATCATATTCATTCGCTTGATGAAATATGTTCCCTCTTTAAAACTAATGGGTTATCTCGTAATGACTTGAAGAAAATATTATTCACTTCCTTAATAGAGGGTGAAACTCTTAGATGAAATCATTATCTTGAAAACATTTATGCCATGAATTGGGAACGGCTAAGTGGTGAAATTTGTAAGAGATTTTATTCGCTCCATAAAATTTGTATTGATTGAAATTATATATATATATATAATTCCCGCCTTATGCGGGAGAGGGCATGTCCCAACCTTTTATGAGGGAAAAAAGTTACTAGTAATAGTTTTATCAAAGAGCTAGTAACTTTTATGCAAAGCTTCCCACTCATGATAGACAAATACTTGATAGTTCTTTCTGAGGGTGTTTTAATAATAAAACTATCGAGGAAGCTTGGGATCTTCTTAATCTTATTACTTCCAACAACTAAGGGTGATAAATGGATAAAGGTAACATAGTAGGTAAAACTATTGAGTACGAATGCATTAAGACTTTCACTGGAACTCGCGATTTTAGTGATATGAGTACTAATATGATTTTGATTCTGAAGCACTTGTTAGTCTTTGTAAGTTTTTTGCATCCATATTAATATTCTGAAGTCTAGCTGGGAGAAATATCATGAACCTTCCCGAGTTTTACAACGAAGTTAACAAATCTTCCTTCTCCTAGGAAAAGAACACAATTATGTGTTTGCTTTTACTTCTCTCATCATAATCAAGTTGTAGATGTTTGATCCTTAAAAACACATGGCAATGCGAGATGATAATTTATTATTAGACAAACAATTGAGCTAACATAATTCCAAGAACATAATTATTGTTAACAAAGTTTCCTCCTCCCGCTTAGTTCACCATCATGAAGGAGAGAAGTTGGCGTTTCTTGGTCAACTCCTGCTCGTGCAACTCTCCCTTGTATTTTCTATCTTTCCCCTCAAAGTGTGTCACATCAATGATGAGCTCGTAGTTCATGCCAGGCATGAGTTGTTGTCTGCCACTCACCACCTTGTTGAACTTGAGCAGGCAGTTCACATGCTTGCTGAATTCCAACACCGCCCAATCGCCAAGCTCCTGGATGTGTTTGTCATTTATGTTCTTGATTGGTTCCCATCCATTAGCTCCTGTCGTGTTCCACAATTGGGTTCCCATCGAATCACCACAGCCCGTGGCTGGTACACCGATGGCATACACGGTCACAACAACAATGATGAGTAGGAAATTGGTTGTCCTCATGCCGTATAAACTTTGTGATGATGAAAAATTTGGTTTGTTAGTGAGGCTTTGGAGCTTGAGATAACGAGTCAGATTATGTGGGGCTCTGGCGAATTGGCAATGTGAGTGGTTCCACAACAATCAAGATGGGGGTGGTTAAATAGACATCACTACAGGAGGCAAACATTAATTGGATGCATATCCATACATGAATTTAAAACGACATTTATGACAACATTTTACTATGTTTATCCAAACATTAATTAGATGTATATCCGAACATGAATTTAAAGCAACATTTTATTGCGAACATTAATTGGACACATACTGAAATATAGGCATTTTGAATGAGATTGACTACAAGATTTTATTGGGTGCGACAGTTACACAAATATTCAACAATTAGTCTAATGTTGTATCTATTACTGCTTTTATTTCAATATTAATTGATATACACCCAAAAAGGCATCTAGAAGGAGACTAATCAGATCAAAAATTTAATTGGAATGGATAATATTATCCTGGAATGTTGGAATATTTGGGTCAAAGAAATAGGAAAAATCTTAAAAAGTGAAGTAGCCCAATATGATCTACCGCTAGAGAAGGTGGTAGTAGCCACTTGTCATGTAAGAGTTGTCAGTGAACCTGGACTAGGTGCTATACCACTGTTGACTATGGAGGTAGCTAGTATATACTCCGCCGCCATAATGTTGGCAGTAATCAAAAGGGTCGGATAGTAAAAAAAATCAAAACCACTGGTTTAACCTCTAATGATTTATCACATCCTTCTTTTGATGTTTGGGTAGTAACTTGTTCTATGACATGAGTTAAATAGTATTACACTTCTATTCAAATGTTAGTCATGTTGCATCAATTATTACCTTTCTATTCAAATATTAGTCATGATTCAAAATACACCCAAAAAGGCATCTAGAAATATACTTAGTAGATACAAAAAGTGGATAGTATTACCTGGGATGTTGGAATATTCAAAGAAATAAAAACATATTGAAAAATGAAGCCCCAACAATCACTGCTTGGAAATTCCTCCATTAGGACCTTACTTTGCTAGGTCATGGAATCAAGAGCAAATATATTGAGAGCTTGCATAGGTGGATCGATTACCAGCTTTGATGATGGTGTCTAGAATTGATTTTCACTTTTTTATCATGATGATCCCTAGAACCGCCATTGGATGATTTTCTTATACTTTCTATCTTTCGTCCTCTTCCTTATTGTGTATATATGATTTTTTTAATTTATAAAGAAAAGTCATGGAACAGTTGTTCTATGATTCATGGCTTAAAATAACGGACTAACAGTTCACCTTGTTCATGCTCTAGCAAATTCAAGGGTCATATTATTTGGCAGCGAGTTGTACCTAGTCTCGCTGCTTTGCCTTGCCTCTACCAATTTCACTACTTAGTCTCTCTTGCCACAAACTCAAACCGAATGCAAATTACAATTCTGGTCCGGGTGCTTATAATATGTAGCTATCCCTTTCTTTAATCATTCAACCAAAAAATAAACAGGAAATGATCATCAGGAGGTAGGGCACACATGGAAGTCCTTAGTCAAACCTAACTCAATGCATCTTATTTCTTTGAGCCACACATTTTCAGTGAATTGGTCATTTTTGCTATGTGGGGCTATATATGGGTATATTTTGTTGTGCTTACATCTTTTACCATCATCCAAAGAAAAGGTGCTTCTAAGAAAATGGTTCGGCTACATCATTCAGGAATGAAGAATTTCTTATTTTTTATTCAATTCACCTGCGGTCCAGTCTCTAGGTAATATGCTTCTTCACATCATGACATACTGATATATTTCATTAATTGCTTCTCTATGTAAAACTTAGAATGTGCAAACCAAAACCACAAGTCAAGTCAATGGAACAAAAAAACTGAAGTGGTATCAAATTCAAGTATTCAAAATGATATACTTACAGTAAATGTAGTAACAGAGAAATTATGTCTTGAATACCTTATACCATGTACTCGACAACATGACTTTATTTCTCTTGTACATAACACAATACTCTTTTTTTTGAATTATACATAACACAATACTCAACTATACAACACACATATGTAACAATATTCTGGAAATTCAAATGTATGACCAACAAATATTTCATGACATCATGCTAAATCTTCAAGGCTTTTGAACATTTCAGCCCATATCCAAAAGGAAATAACGGATCATAGTCAGCACCTCCAATATTTATAGGTAGTTGATCATCATATCTAAACCAAGTTATAGGCAACGTGCCCACAAAATCATGGTCTCCAAAGAGGCAATCAGCAACTCCCATGCCCTCACTTCAAGGCAGCCAAGCAGCAACTAGAGCATCTACCTTCTAAACAACTCACGGCTCAATAACCAAGGGCCTTACAGAAATAACAATCACTATGGTAGGGACTTTACTAGCAACACGAGTAATAATATCGGAACCATTTAATGGAATACTAAGGTCGGTTCTATCCCCCAATGTTTCTGCATTGGGAACCTCACCAACTACAACAACTGCATAGGAAAATTTGCCTGTTTCAATGGTAGCATCTATTGGGCATTGTTCATACATAACTTTTGTTTCCACTTCCACAGATTCTTGTATGGCCTCTAATATGCTTGTACCTATTGGTTTTGATAGCTTGATTAACTTCTACATCATAGTGCGGACTAAACTAGAACATATTTTTAATAAATAAAATGAAACAATTCTGAAACAACCCCTACACAATGTGTTCCAACGCAAACAACTTATGCTTCAATTTCTAAATAACAATTTCACATCTATGTACGCAACATGGTACTTTAAAATGGGTCATAATTTATCCTTAACTACTAATCATCCAACCTAGAATTTCCAAAGAGAATGATATTTATAATAGGAAACAAATGATTGTAAGTGTCACTCAAATGTAAGGTCGTGTGTAATATATTCTCCTGGAGTTAAAATTATTTGATTCCATGTATCCACTATCACCATGCCAAGCTATTGTCCACTGATGACCCACAAGCATAGGGGATCAATCGTAGTCTTTTTGATAAGTAAGAGTGTCGTCGAACCCAACGAGGAGCGGAAGGAAATGACAAGCAGTTTTCAGCAAGATGATGTCTACAAGAACTGAAATTCTTGGTAATAAGTAGTTTGGTAGCAAGATAATTTGTAACAAGCAAGTAATGGTAATGGTAAATAAAGTGCAGCAAGATAGCCCAATCCTTATGAGGCAAAGGACAGGGCAAGATGGTCTCTAATAATAAACAAAGTGTTCTCGAGGGTGCACGGGAATTTCACCATATAACTTTCATCATGTTGGCTTGATTCATGTTCGCTACTTTGATAATTTGGTATGTGGGTGGATTGGTGCCTAGGTGTTGTTCTTACTTGAACAAACCTCCTACTTATGATTAACCCCCTCGCAAGCATCCGCAACCACGAGAAAAGTATTAAGATAAAATATAACCATAGCATTAAACTTTTGGATCCAAATCGGTCCCTTACAAAGTAGCGCATAAACTAGGGTTTAAGCTTTTGTCACTCTAGCAACTCATCATCTAATAACTACTCTGATACGCCTCCATCGTATCTACTTTTCCTAACGATTTTCCTCTTGTTTTGGACTCTAATTTGCATGATTTGAATGAAACTAACCCGGACTGAAGCTGTTTTCAGTAGAACTACCATGGTGTTGTTTTCGTGCAGAAATAAAAGTTCTCGCAATTGAACAAAATTTTGTGAGGATTTTTTTATACAATAAAAGATAATTTTTGGAGCCAAGAACCACCATAGGGGGCACCTCGGTGAGCACAACCCACCAGGGCGCACCACCCCCTCCAGGCACGCCCAGGTGGGTTGTCCCCACCTGGTTGCCCCATAGACTCTGAAATTGACGCTATTAGATCCTATTTTTCCAAAAAATGGGGGAGACAGAATTATCACGTTTCACGAGATCAAGCCACCGCCGTCTCCTGTTCTTCATTGGGAGGCCAGATGTGGAGTCCGTTTGGGGCTCCGGAGAGGGGAATCTTCAATCTTCATCATCACCAACCCTTCTCCATAGCCACTTCCATGATGCTCCCCACCGGGAGTAATTCCTTCATAGGCTCGCTGGTCGGTGAGGAGTTGGATGAGATTCATCATGTAATCGAGTTAGTTTTGTTAGGGCTTGATTCCTAGTATCCATTATGTTCTGAGATTGATGTTGCTATGACTTTGCCATGCTTAATGCTTGTCACTTTGGGCCCGTGTGCCATGGTTTCATATCAGAACCGTTTATGTTATCACCATTATATCTATATTCTAGATCCGATCTTGCAAGTTATAGTCACCTACTACATGTTATGATCCGGCAACCCTAGAGTGACAATAGTCGGGACCACTTCCGGTGATGACCGTAGTTTGAGGAGTTCATCTATTCACCATGTGATAATGCTTTGTTTCGGTTCTCTATTAAAAGGAGGCCTTAATATTCCTTAGTTTCCAATAGGACCCCTCTTCGACAGGAGAGTAGGACAAAAGAGGTCATGCAAGTTCTTTCCATAAGCACGCATGACTATTTACGGAATACATGCCTACATTATATTTATGAACTTGAGCTAGTGCCGTATTGCCCTAGATTATGATTGTCTCATGATGAACATCATCCAACAAATCGCCGATCCAATGCCTACGATTTTCCTACATATTGTTTCTGCTAAGCTACTACTGCTATTGTTACTATTGCACTTGCTACAAAACTACTGCTATCACTGTTATTGTTACTATTGTTGTTGCTACTACTATCAAAACTATCATACTACTTTGCTACTGATCACTTTGCTGCAAATAATTAATCTCTAGATGTGGTTGAATTGACAACTCAGCTGCTAATACTTGCAAATATTCTTTGGCTCCCCTTGTGTCGAATCTATAAATTTGGGTTGAATACTCTACCCTAAAAAACTGTTGCGATCCCATATACTTGTGGGTTATCATACTCCACAATGCATTCCCTTAGGCCCTAATAAGGTGA